GAACTGGTTTTGAACTATACTCTTGAAATTTGAAAAGGTAAGTTTTGATCCCCATAATTTTCTGATCACTAGGCTTGGACTTTCAGCCAAGAAATTCGAACAGATGAAACATTTTTAGGGGATAAAAATATGCCTATACCTACCGTTTAAATACAAAAATACGTTTAGCACTGCTATGTTAAACTGGTTTTGAACTATACTCTCGTTGGGTACCCCTGTCTGCTCCAGCCCAAAACTTGTCTACACCGTGGCAATAACTTTCTGTACGATCAGAACAATACAGATGGAAGCTGGGGTAATATGCGCCGCGTCGGGAGCAACATGGTTCTCGACTAACCACAGCGGATATTTTGTAAACTGTTCAAATAAGCACGGATCATCGAAATAAAACAAAACAAATACGTCGCAGAAGTAAGTAGAGTTTTCTTGCGGCGAGTCGAAAAGGGATGGGCAGTTCTTTGCTCCCCTCCTTCATGAAGTACACCATAGAAACATTTTTGCAGTAAGGCTGCTGGTAGACTTTTTCTACAGAAACCACAACGGTTGGAACAGACGGGCTTTCAGTCGCGGTTAGTTTTTGCATCCGTTCCGCAAACCAGCAGAGGAAAATATGAAAGATAAGCCGCTAAAATAATAATAGATTTGTCCCGGGGTTACCATTACATTCGTTTTTTTATATAAGAACGCTGTCCATTTTCGAGTTGTGCCTGGACAGTTCCTATTATTTCTGTTCTTAAATTTCAATAACGGAAATCTGATAACTTTTAAGCTACATACAGACAAAATAAGGCAATGATTATAGTCTTCATATTTTATGAACTGTACAGGTACAATGCAAATGTGTTAGCTATGTGTTATTGACCATACACAATGGAATGTGTTGAAAGAACAAAATTTTACACGCACTCTGATTCTATGTAGGACATTATGTAATTCAGATTTTCTGGATCTAGGAAATAAGTAAAAGCTGTGAAAAATGAATTGTTCTTCTCTGAGACTCGGGTATGTTCTAAGCACGTTCTTAATACTTTAAAAAATTTCAGGCTGAACGTTCTCATAAAAAATTTAGTGTATACGTGCTTTCTCATCCCCGTTAATGATAAAGTGTTTTGATCGTTTGATAGTGAGTTTGATATAATAATGCGTTTAAATTCCGACTTCGATTTCCTGTAAGCCGCGCGCTATAACTTGATCAAAACACTTCAGCATTCGATCCATGAAGCCGGAATTTTTCTTGAGCACGTACTTTGATTTGTTTGTTGTTGTTTTTCTTCCTTTGATATTGCTCCAGAGGGCTGGAAAGTTTCTCTCTTGAAATTCGTAAAATTCTTGTGAAATGTTCAGGCTCTAAACTTAGAATAGCTGATAGGAATGGGTTTAACGAAAACACAAATTATTGCCAAAGTACAAGCTGCAGTACTAATTTAAGATAAGTGCACTTCTTTTACCTAAGCCCAAGTTTAGATAATAATGACTGAACAGACTAAATTGAATTAACTGTTGCTTTAGTAGTATGTGATATAAGACTGAAAGAGTGAAGAGATAACTATCTCGTCATCATGTCGTCATACTTGGGAAACGGAATGAACATCGAGGTGGCCAATGAATGGCACACAATGTTAGAAATGTTCAATGCGGAAAACTCAATACAAATCGAAACCGCACGCGCGGACATAAACTTTCTTTGTTCAATTGCTAGCCTGTGGCAAACTTTATAGAGCTACGCACGAGCGAGTCGCGGTTTACCTCGCGCGGGAATGCACCTCTCGCGACTCTCAAATGGAGAGTATGCGCATGCCCGAAGGCCTCAAAGGCTCTGCTTCTTACACCAGTTGATCCTGCTCAACAGTGATAAATTGCCCTGAAATAATCGCTATTTTTTTACTCAACTTTCACTCAACAAGCGAATTTTTCAATACTGGTAGGCACTTTCTGTTTACATCCGTTAACGGGTAATCAAGAGGAACACGTGGTTTTCCGATGGCCTTTTTGCTAAGCAACACCGTGAATCGGCCGGCGAACGACGGATTCGGAAATGACGAATGTCCGCTTCTTCTCTTCATAAATGTATTTTTATATTGGCAGAAGGAGAGATAAACATAACAGGACGTTTTTCCAGTTTTCAGTCTTGAGAATTATTCTAAGATACTGTTATCGCAATTAAATTTCTAGTGCGAGTTAATTCTTCCAAAACAAATCAATTTTCGTTAAAGCTTGAACCAGGTTGGTTACAACCAGCACAACAAATGAGTTGTACAGACAACTCCCTTTATAGGCCAGCGGCCACTGTGTAGGGACCTTGAGTCAGTGTCCTTACTGATTAACGAGAGTCCGTAATGGCGGGAGTTTATTTCAGTCAAATGTCTGTAATTTATTTTTGCCTGGGCTGGACCAGGAGCCAATGGGCTCCTGACTGCACTCAAGTATTTATACAGCATAAACTGCAGATGACCAAAACAATTCTTCAACTAATCGTGCTGTAACATTTAAAAGCACATCATATTAATAGATATCACTTACCAAACTTAAAAATCTGGTAAGTTTTCGACATAATCGTACAGTAGTAAAGATTATCTTCTCAGTAAACCTGCTTCACCACAAGAGAACAATAGTATTCCATGTATCTGCACCGGTAAACGATTCTCAACATTTTTCCTCGCCCTAAAAAGTTTATCTGCAGTGAGCTTGGGCTATTTTCTATGCATATCCAGCTACATGGTTTTTATTTACTAATTCTCCTTCTTGCCAAAGAATAAACCCGCCTCGAAAGTTGCCTAATTTACCGGAAGTCGAAAGAAAAATTTTACATTTCCAGTTGGCAAATTTTGAGTTAATCGCAAGAGAAGCCAATTCACATTCAAAGAGTCAATTTTGCACCACCCTTATCTTGCGTGCCTAAGTACTTGCTAGTTTTGACAGTTTCTGCTATGTTTTTCACTAATCATATACTAATCCCTTTAAAAGCTGTCCGCGTCCAGCAGAGCACCGTATGGGACTCACTTTACAATATTTTTGTTTCAATTAGAGCTTTATAAACAACATAACTGACTGAACTTCACTGCACTTTTTTCGGGAATGTTCCCAAAGCCCAACAGCTTCGTCAGATTAAATCTTATCTATTCATCCTGTCTTGTCCTCACTACCATCTCAAAAGCACCAAAGCATGGAAGCAAATAGCTGTCTTGTTCTATGAAAGAGGGCAGATACCGCGTGATCTGATTCTGAGAGGCGTGGTGTTAAGGGGATCCCGCGCTTTGTTAGGAACGCCCTACAAAAGTCACGCTTTATGACATCGCAGGTGTTGCGAGATATTTATCACAACTCGCTTGATTACACGATAAAAGTTCGCCCTAGTTTCACTTTGCCATAAAAAATAGTGTTTCGGGTTTCAAGAAGGAGGCACTTTTCGAGGCCATCAATAGCTAGTGTATTTTGTGATTCGTGTGGATTCGTTCCAGCGCTCGAGGTTTTTGCATGAATTTTTAAACACTCGGTTGTTAAAACAACTGGGTTGCTGGTAATGTCTTCAGTTCAGAAATCTTCCCAGCCGGACAAGCCTAGGAGCACAGGTAAATAAACGTTCTTGCACTTTCTTTTGTCTAAAAATTATTACCCGAATAGAAATTTTATGCTAAGAACAATGCGCTGTAATAGACTGAGATAACTAAAACAAAGTCATTCGTAAAACGAATTTGAAGCTGTTGTGTGAAAGTCTTGAGTGTTTGCATCGCCGTAAACCATGCTCTAATATAAAGATGTTGTATATTTGATGCATAGATTTCCTCTACTAATTGTTTTTGAAAGTTTTTCCTATACGAAGTTTCTGCTTTAAAGAGCCTAGAACTCTTTCGCGTCCTCTAATTGTTCTACACGTGGAAATCAGATTCACGATTATGGACCTCATTAATCCACCCTTTTTCAATTTCATTCGCAATTTTCTTACCCTCGGTTTCCATAAACAAGCTGTCGTGAAGTCCTTTATCATAAACTTTTTCTAGTCATCCGTTCATGCATTGAAATTAATTTTACGCCTTTTGCCAACGAACTTTGGCTACAATTCATCGTGTTTTTGTTCACTGAAGTGCCTCCCCGCGGTGAATCATAGCTATAATAAGTAGTTCACTTTATATCAGTAGTTATGAACTTGCCATGGCGATAGCATGTGCTAAACACCTTGACGAATGGTATATTTGCGTTATCACTTCAACCGTTCTCCAGAATGAACTATCAAATTTTCTAGCCCCTCAATTTCAATAGAACTGTTTTTAGTTTCAACAAACAATGGAATCACATGTTGTAATGTGTTTTCAATAAGCAGCAATAAATACCCCGCGAACTATACTCCACCCATTTGAACCAAATGTTTACAAACTGACTCTCCGAGAAAGAAACTTCAAATTTCTGGCTTAAGCTGAAACAACGAAAGTTTCCAGTTGAATTAAAAATACACTTGGCACTTCAAGGTTGGCGCGGGTTTTCTTTTCAATATTCCCGCTACCATAACTCAACAGGTTCAGTGTTTCTTGAAAATGTAAACCTGTCAAGTTCCACGAGTGACCGTCTCCAGCTGTTTGGCCGCGCCAAATTAAGAAAGCCTTTGCTCCCAAGCTTTATTAGTCTAACACTAAAAACCGTCAATTGTCTTTATAGACTAAGACACTGTTTTGACTAAGTTAGTCAATTTTCTTTCTTTCCATTGGTTTTAGTAGGCCAATTTTTTATCATTACTTCTAGGTAACGACAAAACCTTTCACACGCTTGCTTGAACAAAAACACAGTGACAATATTTAACGTCCGTGAACACATGTTGAAACCGAAATCACCCACCTGTTGCACGCATGCACGATTTGACAAGTTTCACATAGAGTCTTCGAACTCAGAATGAGCCATAAATATTAAGAAACGCTTAGAACTGTCTGTATGTCATGTGGGAAAAAATAATAAAACAATAATTTGTTGATATTCACGGTATTTAATGAACACAAACGGGAAAGAAATAAATGGAGAGAAGACCCTCACAGTTAGGTAGTAAGACTTGTCGCGACTGCAAAAGTTACTTATTTAACTGTGATCTTCTTCTCTGTATTTATTGACTTTATTTCTTTATCTCACAGTTCAAAATTATGAAATTCATAGCAGAGCTGTCGCGCGAGCAAAAGCGCGGGCAGCGGAGCACCATGGGTTAGAAAATTTGGTTTTGGTCCTGATAAACGTACGTACGTTTATCCCTTCAAGTAAGCAGAGGTGAAATTTCATGGCCACCCAGATCTTTAGAAAGGAAAAAGCATCAACAAAGCCAATTTTTTTTTCGAGTAAATTTCTATGTCTACATTGATGTGGATAACAGAAAAAGAACAAGAGCCAGAGATAAAGAAAAAATTTAAAAAGGAGACGAATTTCTTTCCTCCCTGAGAAGAAACATGAAAATTTTATAGCGGCGGTGAGAAGATGAGAAATACTAGCGGCCACTAAGATGAAATGAGCGGCAGTGAAAAAAAATGTGAACAGGGACACATATGTAACTAGGAAGTTTCTGGAAGTTATAAGTTGTAGTCGTGCAAACAAAGGCAAGTAAGTGTACAAAAAAGTGTGCTGCACGGTCAAAGTTTTTTTTCTGCTAATTAGACCTATGGATTTTTTGCAGTTCTCGCTACCGTCGCCGTTTAGCATTACACGATGTTATATTTGTTTGAGTAGACTATAAATATAAACGAGAGCTTCGCTTTTAGGCGTGGCTAAATGTCGATATTGTATTCACCATTTCAGTCAGTTCATCTTTGGTATATTAAGTAGTAAGGCTTGTCCCAACAGAGTGAGCTGCTTATTTAATTACAAGAGTCCTCTCTTGTTTATTATGATGATCTTCTCTTCATTTATTTCCCTTTCATTCCGCAGTTCAAATACCGTAAATCCTCTATTAAGCCCCCCCTCTCTAATAAGCCCCCCCTTTTCAGAGGAGGAAAGCTAATAAGCCCCCCTCTCTATTAAGCCCCCCCTTCCCCTCCCCCAATCCTTATTCTTCACAAAAAAATTAACGATTAACGTGGACTGATCAGTTATGGTTTATTCATAAAAATTACCGAGGAACATGAGGCCGAAAGCACATTTTTGAAGAATAAGAATTTTGTTTTTGCTACTTTTAGGCTCCCACAAGTGAATTAAATACTTTTGGCAGTGACTTTAATTGTACAACGCCTAAATCTACTCTGTCTCATACCACGGTATTTTTGCTACAGGTGATGCGTTTCGCTAAATTAAATAAGCCCCCCCCCTCTCTTTTAAGCCCCGTCTCTCTATTAAGCCCCCCCTCAAAAGTGCTTGAAAAAAATAAGCCCCCCGGGGGGCTTAATAGAGGATTTACGGTATATGAAATTCATGTATTCATTATTTCATCTTCATCTTTCTCGGGTATATTACAAACCAATTAATGGCCAGCTCCCAGTCTGCTTGCTAATTCAATTGGTTAGAGCGCTGGACAGTTATCGCAGAGGTCAGGGTTCCAATCCCAGCAACCCTGAATATTTTCAGGTTCGCTTTTCGAGTTTGCATCTGCATAAGCTGTTCATTTAAACAATCTGAAGGTCTTTCCTTCTATTTCTTGTTCTCAAACAGTTGTTTACCACGTTCTAGACACCTTCATTCGAGAAAATATGCTTCGCAGATTCTTCAGCTTTCGCAGACCAAAACTGGATGAGAAGGAAACAGTTGATGAGCTTGAGAAAGAAAACATTGCTCCGAACTCTCAGGTATAAAGAAAAAATATATTTAAAGGGACTGAGACTGAGAAGACACACTGAATATTGACTGAGAAGGCCTGAAAAGACACCCCACATGGAGTGGGTAAATTTGACCCCTAGATGGGTAAAAATATTTGCTTTCCGTCCTGAAAACCATACTTGAGACCATTTATATTCCTAAGTGAGAGGACGGGCATTTCTCCATCTTTCATATGTCTGTCCCACCCCTCCCCTCCCCCGGAGTTGCAGATACTTCCACTCGTCAGATTTTCGCTTTTAAAGATGCCCTTTTTTATGATTGCAGACAAACCCGCTGGCGATCTCCAAGACAACCATGGGGGAAGGCAAAACAAATTCAACCGGCACAGCTGAATTAGACACAACAACAAATACAGAATCTAAGGACTATACAGAGAATCAGAATCCTCGCGAAAAACCCGAGAACAAAACTGTTGAGGATGAACTCTCGCAGAAAGAAAAAGCAATTTCTAATTCAGAGCTACAAAAGAGAACTTCTACACTTTCGGATGTTGAAAGGTATGAGAAGCGAACGACAAAAACGACGCACGTACCATATTTACTCGATCTCGATTTAACCCCGCCCATGAAAACAAGCCTCCCTGGAATTAACGCTGCACCCAATCAAAAGAATGCGGCGGTTATATGAGGATTAACTGATAACTGATTGATTGGTAATCTACACTATTCAGACCCCACAGACAATTTCAAGTCCATTTCACCAGATAAAGCGAGAAACTGGAACTTTAAACATCTTGCTGTTTTACATAATTTTTGTAAATGATTTATGGTATTTGTTTACAGTGATCTAAGAAACGTGATTTTGAAATAAACACCGTCCTTGAATCAGGGGCACCCAACGAGAATATAGTTCAAAACCACTTAAACATAACATTGTTCAACGTATTTTAGTATTTAAACGGTAGATATAGGCAAATTTTTATCCCTTAAAAATTTTTCATCTGTTCGGATTTCCTAGCTGAAAGTCTAGTGATCCGAAAATTATAGGGGTCAAAACTTACCTTTTCGAAAATTTCAGCCAGGAAAAGGGCTCCCGAAAATTCTAGGTGTCCTTTTTAGGGTAAAAATTCGTTAAAAATGGACAATTATACCATTTTTTAGATGTTCGAAAATCCTAGGAGAGACAGGCAAGCAAGAAATTTTACAGCAAATGTTCCGAAAATTCTAGATCTCAAATCGTCTTCCGAACAGATATTTTCCAAAAATTGACGTTGGGTACCCCTGTTGAATAAACGCCGCATTAAATATGCTAAGAGTTTGATTAATGCTGTGGCGTTTAATCGAACAAATATGGTAAACGAATCAATAAAACCTAACAGGACCAGGGCCCAGTTGTTCGAAGGCCGATTAGCACTTAACCTTGGTTTCTTTTTCTTATGCTCAAAAGCATTTTCTCGGATAACTTTCCCTGTTATTTTTAGAGCTTCCAATCATCAACCTGTAGACAAAAAGAATTAAAACTGAAATGCTTTTTAAGCTTTCAAATCTGAATTCAAATCTCGCACTAACCCTGGGTTATCTTAACCCAGCTTTGAACAACTCGGCCCAGAGTTGTACTCTACTTTATCTATATAGAGGGTCCTTAGTCCTCTCTACCATTAATGAAATCCTAATATAAGTTCTGATTGGCTGATGCATTTCTGGCGCGAAAGTGAATCTATAAATAACCTGAAAATCCATCACGTGGGGAGGCCACGAAGCTCTCACAGCGAGTTGTTTTATTGGTTAACGAAACAATAGATGAATCACCCAAACAATGCTCCAAGCCTGGCTAAAAACAATAGCAGGTGTGTTTTTAAGGGCCACTAAAAATAGGGCTTTCCTAGGGCACGCCGAGCAAGACGGGACACGAGAGAGTAGCGGAAATCGAACCTAAGGCCTTCGTGGCTTCAGAAAACAGACAGATTCTTGAATGTAAGAAATTTCAAACCTTTGTTATCTTTCCCTTTACGTTTCAGTGACTTGAATGAAAGTGAGAAACTAAAAAATGATGTGTCTTCTGTTCTCAAAGAGACAGACTCGTGTGAAAGTACCAAAGATGAAGAATCGGATCGCTGTGAAAGCACGATATCAGCTGATGATAAGGATGAGAGTGGTATTGAACAGGATTTTGAACCTACTGGAGATGAGCCAGCTATAAAGTTAAAGCCAAACGATCACAACAACGAACCACGGATAAAGAACGAGTGCCCGGATAACTCTTTAACTAAAAATGTATCCACAGAACTGAACAATGGCCTTGAAAGTTCTACGAAGACAACAGAGAGTCTTCCATCGCCACTGGTTCCCATTAATCTCAAGTCTCACCTAAAACGAAATGATAAAATCAAGTCACCAAATCGAAACTTTAATCGGGCATCGGGCACCATGGAGCATATTTATAAAAGCTGTAAGAGCTCTCCTGAGAAATGCCCAAGTTTCACGCCCCTAGCAAACACTAACAAGCCATATACGTCACCTTACAGAACACAGTACTCTCGGAGGCCCCTTGCGACTACACCTGCATGGCAGCACCGTCGCAACAAGGCCCCCGAAATGTTTGGAGACATTGTCATAAAAGATCGTTTCAAAGCCAGAACCCAATTTCCGTCTCCTTCACGAAAAGGTATTTTGAAACATCCGAACGGGTCTAGGTTGGCTTCAAATGGAGTAAAGCATGCAACAGCAACCAAGAAAAGCAAACTTAGTCCTCCTAAAGGTAGGTTATCATATATATCAACTATTGTAGTAATAACCAAAGGTTACGGAGTGCGGGCGACAACGATCGAAAGTCAAAACGCTTGTGCTCCAGCGCTGTGCTTTGCGTGAGTTTCACGTGACAGATGGTCAAAACACATGTGGTAAGATTACGAGTGATAGAAGGTCCAAATTGGGTGATCAAACTGCGTTCTGTGCCGTTCTGTGCATTCCATACATTGTCGGTGGAAGTCCAAACGAATGCTGGCTACATACCTGCGACGCATGTGTAATAACAGCCTGGAGATTAGGATTGTGGGCTTCTCTTGTCGCCCGCAAATATATCAAAAATGGTAGGGAGGGTGAAACCAAAGAACAACTGATTAGTTGTGTAATGAAAAATTGAACAGATCAACATTAGCTGCGTTGTCTTTATTCGGCCAGTGAACAAACAGTTACAATCTGCCGCATGGAGTTCAAAAGCAGGTTGATCGCACGGGCCAGAATTAGCCTCCGACTAGATTTAACTTTGTACCAAATAAGGCTGAAAGTGTTAGTGGGCTTTTAACTCGTTGTTTGAAGCGCGAAAGATGCGATGTTCAAGCGCCTATACAGTTTTCTTTGAAAGTTCTGTGATACTTTATAATAAACCTCATTTCATACCGTATCTACTTGTATATATGTGACATGTTATCTTCATTTCATTTTTGTACTAACTCACTCGGTAAGTCTGTTTTTCAGTCAACCAAACCTGCTTGTTCCATTTGCTCGTCTGTGATCTTGTTATGTTTGTTGCAGTACAGTGGTAACGTATTGGTTATGTATGTGTCAATGTTTTTGTTATTGTAACGTTGGCAATACCAGAAAGGCGTGTTCATCCTGTTCATCGTTGTCTTTTTCTTCTGTTTTCTATTTAAACTAATTACATTAAAATACAAAATGAACTTTATCACGAGTAGGTTTACTTATACGCAAATAACTCCTTTTTCCACTTAAGCTCTTGGGCATTACGTCACTACATATAACCGTTTGTTTGTTTCTTTCACCAGGAATAAATGAACTTTGTTTATGAGCCATCTTATCAATTAATCAGTGCAGTCGACTCCCGATAACTCGAACCTTCAAGGGAAATCGAAAAAAGTTCGGGTTATCGGGAGCTCGAAAAAAATAGCCGAGAGTAAGGAAAAAACAGTTTTTACTGCACAGTGAACATTTAAATCACATTTAATTGTAGAAATGTCAAGTGAAAATTAAAAGATACTTCTAGATTATAAATCAGAACGTAACGTAACAAACCATAGCTTAAATAGAGCATGCGTTTTACTATTTTGAGAAGTAAAGCTGCTTCACGTTAGCCTGTGAGAATCAATATCAGCCTACACTAGTAAACTATACTCCTACAACACGTCAATAGGAAGTCGAAAATTCAATGTTTCGGACGCCAGTAGACGGCTTTTTCCCCGACTTTTTAAGGGCTCAAAACCTGGTTCGAGTTATCGAAGGTAAAATTATATAGAAAATGACCTGAGGGGAAACGAAAATTGGTTCGAGTTAGCGGGAGTTCGAGTTATCGAGGGTTCGAGTTACGGAAGGTAAAATTACAGTGAATGTATGACGGAAATCCAGGGGAAATCGATTTTGGTTCGAGTTAGCGCGAGGTTCGAGTTAGCGAGGGTTCGAGTTATCGGGAGTCGACTGTATTAGTACTAAGCAATGTTAAGGTTTATTCCGGTTATATGGTTGTAAGGTCTTGTAAGCAATATATCAACCGGAAGCTGTTTCCGCATGGTCCGTATAGCTTGTAAAAAGAACTATTCTAAAATTATGATATGCTCTGACCGAAAGGCATGACCAGGAGATTCCCTCCATGTGTTATCATAATCTCTTTTAATCATTTAGATTATTGATCCCTTTAGCTTGAGAAAACAGCCGACATTTCGCGATGACACAACTAGTTTTCCAGCGAAACGCTGCCTGAGAAACGCGCGCAGAAATTCTTTACTGATGACCGTCACTACCCAGATCTGGGTAGTGCTTCTGATTGGCTAAAGCGAATTTCCCACGCGGCACGACCAATCAGGAAGCGCTATCCATGTAGATCTGGGTAGTGACGCGTCATCAGTATGGAATTTCTGCGGTCGATTCTTACATGTCATTTCGCAGGGAAACCGGTAGTCTCTGGTGACGTTGCGAAATTTCGGCTGTTCTTTTTTTTTCAGGCTCAGATCCCTTTCGTAAGAAGAGGAAAAGGGAGAAAGGCGAATGATTTGCTCATTGCTTCGGAACAAACCTTCCTTCGTTTTGCCAACCTCGTCCTAAGGGCCTTTCCCTCATTTTTGTTAAGGAAAAAGCCCTGGGGACGAGGTTGTCGTTTTGCAGTTTAATGAATGTACTTCGTGTAAATGACTATAAGTAGATGGAGGATAAAAACAAGGGGAGATAGAAATATCTTTTATCGTTGGATGATTCCAAACAACTGAGTAATAAAAACTTTTTGCTATGATTTTACTGACGGAAACCAGCTTAATGTGGTTCTTTGGGTGCAATTTCATGCAGGAAAAAGAAACTCTACGTCGTCTGACAGCGGGCTCAGCGACGAGGAAGGTTCCAGCGGCGAGGAGCAAAAACGCATGCCTGTCAAAAAGATCTTCAGTAACCAGCAGGCATTGCGAAAGAAAATCGATGATTTGAATGGAATGCTGAAAACAATGGAACAACAAAAGGCGGAGTTACAGACCGTGCTCAGGATCATAGAGGAATGGTCCGAGGATTTACGGAGCGTGGAGAGGACTAAATTAGGCGTCCCTTACATAAGAGCTGTTAAGCAAACGCTTGGTAAGTCGATTTTCATCCAGCCCTCCCCAACCCAAGTTTTGGCTCGAGTGAGAAACAAGCGTTAACGTTGGCTTAGGAGAGGGGTGGGTGAAGACATTTTCTCAGAGTCTTACCCATCCGTCTCTTCAATTCAAATTGGTGGGTGCCTATTTTTATTCTGAACAACAGAAGGATGATGTTGTACACGAAGTTTTACCATTCTGACCTCGCTATCCCCTATTTTTTTCTTAATATCATCAGGGTTGAGTGCTTACCGGTACGGGCGGCTATTTTGGTTTCATATGTACCGAGGGGGTGGGCGACGGCGGTTTTGTAGTGGGGGGTGGGAATTGGGGTGGGAGGCGTTAAAAGATTTTTCTCGCCTTCTCCCAAACTGTCCCTGACCCCTTAAGTAGATTTGACACTCATTCGGAACATTTGAAACAGCTTGAAACAGCCCGTTCCGCAAAGCGCTCGTTCCCTACAATCCTGCAGGAAATAGGGGATTGTAAACATTCTATGTATAGTGATTTGAGAGAATGATACACGACAGTTCTCATTAACTGTTTGCAGTTTCATGGTTTTCTTTTCACTTTAGTCCCAAGACAGGTACCAAGGGGAAATGGGGCAATTGAACTCCCGCTTCGAAGTATTCACTGTTTTAACTGTATTTTTTCTTTTGACAGCTAAACAGCGAGTAGCATTGAGCAGCAAAAAAAGCGATTTCAACAGAAGACTCACGAAGCTGAAAGAGGCTGAGGTTCCATTTAATGAAGAGTTCGGTAATCTGATTCAGCAACTCAGAAAAGAAGTCACTTACGTGGTTCGAGATCAAAGAAAATACAGCGCAAGAAGAGTTGAAAACATTCGACAGCTTCAGGGTAGAGTGATGGGAACTTGTAATGCAATTCTAGCAGTTTATTATGAAGGATAAGCATCCGACTGTTGAAGTTACTGCCTTATTTAAATAGCCTGAAAGATTGCTATCATTGAACTTCTTTTAATGATAATAGAGTAATGTTTCTATATATTACTTGAAAATGAAATACAATAGAGAGGCTTTGTAGGATAATAATTAGGCCAACTGGTTAGCCTGTGCATAACACGCCGCACCCAGTGGAAACAATTAAGACCGCTGAAGCAAACAAGAGAACATGACAAAAGGAGTGATTCCTGTGATATACATAGATTATATATAGGTTAACAATTTTAAAAATTTACATGAGCTCTGTGTTAGCGCTGCAGTGCTCTATCAACTTAGCTATGAAGACCCATAACATTGAGAGCAGACTAATCTGCCGAGTTGAACTCAACCCGTGAAAGGAATGAAATATGGTCAGTCACCTTATCCTTATTCTAAATTTTTAAAACGCTTTTCATATATACATTCAAGTTTTACATGTAATTTCAGTCTAAACAAGTTATATGATTAAAAAAATTTCTAAACATTTCTAATAAATCAGTATTCAGTTTTTCTTGATCATTTTATAAACTACTCTTGTTTGGCCCAATGCTAACTCAAAAATTCAAATTCAAATTCAAATTCAAATATCTTATTATTCCACTCCCCTCAGGACTTTTCAGGGATAATTTACAACACTGGTTGGGGGACTTTGCCAGACTGCTTAGGTGCAGTTTACAAGGAATGAAGGAATGAGTAATGATACCCCATACATGGGTATGAAAGTGAGTCAGACCACTACACCGGGCACTACGTGCCCTACTCTTTACGAAGAGTGTGTGGGTGCTTTAACGTCCCATAGATTTATTACATGTGCAAGGGCTTGTAAGACGGGGCCTATGGTTTATCGTCCTTATCCGAGAAGACTAGAAAGTCTAACCGTTTGCAGATGTTATTACAAAGGAAGCACTTTCTCCTCAGTTATTTAAAGAGCCTGAGTGTTGGTCCTGCAGGGGTCTGAACCCACGGCCTCCCGCTCAGCAGACCGGCGCTTATCCCATTGAGCTAATTGGGCGGCGGTTATCTATTAATGCTCTCGCTCCATCTGTCCAAATCTGGAAAGGAGAAAAAGCATTTTGAGTAGTTTTCTTGAGTTTTCCTTGCTCATTCTGGTCCGTTCAGTGACCTCAGGTCTATCCAGGTACCATGTTTGCCTCGCCTAGTCCCTGTACGGCGTTTCCCCAGTCCCTATCAGTCAATTCATTTCGGTGATGTACGTATCCTTCGTTTGGACCACGTGACCCGAAACGGTTTTGCCTCGCGAAATAATGAGCCCTAGGGACCAGGCAAGTGCTATGTATCCTCTTCAGAGTTATTAGGGACCTTAAGATCCGACGACGGCGACGGCAACGGGAACTCTACAAAAGCAATAGGTTTAATAACCAAAACAACAATTTTGCACGTGCATCACGCTTTTTTGTACATTTCTTTGCCGTCACTGCACGACTACGACGTGAAAATGCCTAATTTCACGTTGTACATAGGAAGTACATGAGCGGCGACGAAATTTCCTCTCTCTTTCTGCACTTGGCTATGGTACGTAGGAATTCAACTTTAGGATGGTTCGCCTACATTTAAAAAAGCTAGTGACTTGGAGTAATCGCGATGAAGATTGAAAGAACAAGAATTCATTTTTTAGCGACGTTTTCTCTGCCGTCGCCGTCCTCGGATCTATAGATTCCTTTTAGGGACCTTACGAAACTATGGAGGCGAGGGCAACGGTAACATCAAAAACAACAACTCTGCACGTGCATCACGCCTTTTTGTTCATTTCTTTGCCGTCCCAGCACGACTACGACGTGAAATGACTAAATTTTAAGTTTTTTTTGAGGACTGGAACGGCAAGGCGATAAATTCTACCATCTCTGTCTGAACTCAGACGCGGCCCCCTCTCTTCAGCTCAAACATAAATTCCCTTCTTTTAAGTAACTGGGCGACTTGGGATAATCGCGAAATGGTTTGAAAGGATGCGGAGTCTATTTTTCAGCGAGGTTTTCATGGACGTCGCCGTTGTCGGATCGTAAGGCAACGAGGACGGCGACGGCTACGAAAACGTCACTTAAAAAGTGAATTCGCGCTACCTCAAACTTTATTGCGCTTATTCCATCTCGTTTAATTCGTGAAATGGTGGCAAATTTCTTTGGAGTTGAATTCTAAAGGATTGTATCAAAGTTCAGGAAAAGAAAAAGAAAATTGCTGTCATTTTTGGGTTCCCGTCCTAGAAAAAACGTGAAGTTAGGCACTTTCACGTTGTAGTCGTGCAACGACGGCTAAGAAATGTACAAAAAAGCGTGACGCACGTGCAAAGTTGTTGTTTTGCCAATCCAAACCTATTGCTTTTTTGCCGTTTTCGTTGCCGTCGCCGTCGTCGTTGCTTAAGCTCCTTATTAATACTTGTGAGTGACACTACGTTAAAAGTGTGAAAGGTTAGAACCCAGGAGCTTTCATAAGTAGGTGAAGCATGATCGTCCGGGTGATTCAGTGGCGTTTGCTCTAAGCAGGGGGGCACGACTCTAATAGCGCCTGGTACTTGTTTCGAATATCTATGATCCACCAATTTATGACATCACATCCGGTTGCAGAGTTCCTGCTCTGTTTTCGCGCGAGGCACAAAGGTGGACGCCCGATGCTATTTGGTTTCCTCGTTATTTTTACCCACAGGCTAACGGAATTATGTATCTTGAATGCCGAGAATGTTGAGAAGGTATCTAGCCGGCCTTTTAGGCAAATGTCATGACCAAACAAAGAAGATTTAGTATTATTTTAACGATAAATATCATGCAGCTGCGGGGAATGTCATGGCGAGTCTTGCGATGTTTCAAAACGAGTGCCTTTAACGTTTTGCGACTGTTGCGGCCTCTGATTTAGAGAAGTCATCAATCAAAATATAACTTCCTGAGCGGAATAGAATGGGGAAAACGTCGATGGCCACAGTTTAAAGTTTTCACCGCTAGAAGGCTCTATCACGCCCCGTAAAGTTACACAAACTTCCACTCAACTGCATGGTTTTCAGGAATGCCATGGCGAGTCTTTCGCTGTTTGTAATCGAGCGTCACTCAAGCGGCTTCTGATTCATCGAAGTCATCAATCAAAATTGCCTATCCTGAGCGAAATACCTTGGCGAAAAAGCCTATGGTCACAGTTTAAAGTGTCCACTGCTTGAAGGCTTTATCACTCGACGTAAAGTTGCTGAAAGCTCTACCCAGCTGTTCTGTTTGAGCAATGTCACGGCGAATCTTTCACTGTTTCAAAACGAATTGTCAAACAAAATAGCCTATCCTGAGTGGAATACAATGGAGAAAAAGCTGATGGTCACAGTTTAAAGTGTTGATTGCTGGAAGGCTTTATCACTAGTCGTAAAGTTGCTCAAAGCTCTTCTCGACTGTACAGTTTGAGCAATGTAATGGTGAGTCTTTCTCTGTGTCCAGGACGTAACATGTCGATCAAAGTCGATCATCGAAAACGTAGTCGATAAGTCAAAAGTACTCGAAATTTGTCGATAATTGTCAATCGACAAGTCAAATTTGTCGATAAAAGTCGATAATCACAAGATTTTTAACTGTTTATCGATTTTATCGACAAATTTTTCAATCAGCTACGAAATTCAAGTAACCAAACCAATAATAGCTCGAATGACTTTTTTCAGCTTTTTTATGAAAGTGTAAAAAGCTCTAAAGTAAATCTGTATGGCAATAAAGCTAAATGAAAACCTGAACAACCAAGTGGTCTGTTATTCACTGTAGAATAGAATGTTTAAATTACCTCGAGAAATGATCGATTAACAGCTTCAGCTGAGCGAAATCGCGATCTGTAACATAACTCGCACCAACCTAGTTCCCAGAGTCTCTCTTGGCGGGAGAGATGAGAGATCCTGGGAACTCGAAGTCGTGTTTCTTAGAGGGGACAGAACGGGTCAAAGTTTAGACTGGATGCGGGAAAAAATCGAGGCCAGCAAAGTAATTAAAAAGTAAAGTAAACTGGCATTTTATTTTCGTCAGTGATTTTACTCAGTTCAACATTTGACAAACACAAGCTGCGGCTACGACTCTCCTCCCTCTCCGCTAGGTTGGCTAAATTCGCCGGGTTTGTATGCCCCTTGCTTCTCCTTGCGCCTATGATTGTTGTACTAGTCCACAACCTACGTATGACAGTAAAAATACAACGAATTACGATTGCTCAGTATCAGAAAATATGAACCCGTGTATAAACAGTTAATCTCGCCAGATCTAGCCTTGTTCAGACCAAAACGACGTCAGTCACAGGTATTCAGCAGTACTGTTCATTAAATCTGGTTAAATCAGGGTGATTTAGTAATCTGTAATCCCAGATAATCTACAATCGATGGCTGCCATTAAAGTGTGTACACAGTGTACAGCTTTCACCGGCTTTCACTAACCTGTCTTTCATCCAGCTTCAAGGCCTTTGCTGTTGTTTCCATCACAGCTTTGCTTGGTTTTCCCTTACTCGTCACATACACACTATCTAAAGTTGCAATCTCGACGTCGCTAGACCGCTTTCGCGGGTTGACGTGTTTTTTTCCCACGTTGGGCCTTTGCATCTCTTGATTTTAATCCTGGAAAAAAAAAATAGGAACAGAATACGGTAAATTAAATCATTGAGTAAACGACCTTTAAATAAAATGACCTTAAATTACCTGTGAAAATTCACCTAGCTTTTTACTGCTCTTTACTGTTTTTACGTGAAATAGTAAAAGCAAAAACATGTTTCTCCTGATGGCAAGCGGACCAAGCAGCGTTAATCTAAATTATATTTCTGATTATAATATGATAATAATTACAATAAACAATTTTTACTTCTCTTCATCTCAATTAATTCTCTTCATCTCCAAGAATTCCTTAAGCTTGACCCAAATTATCTGGCTATACGTTTTAGGTATCTCCGCAGGGGCCTTCGATAAATAATCGGAAAATGATCCTTTGGATCTGTTCAGCACCTTTTCGGCAAAAAGGCGCTGAGGTATCCCCCTATCGCTTAGCAAACTGGTTATCTGTTTCGCTATTTCCTTTGGGCTGGCAGTAGCTTCAGTAGAAGTAGAGGCTGTCGAGGGGACCGCGTGGTGCAATAATATTGCAGGACCATCGCCAATGTGTTCGTCCTCGCTGTCTTCGACCATCTCCACGCCACGTGGAACATTGGGTGCAACTGGTGTTGTCACTGCAGTGATCACTGGCACGTCTGCCGCAAAATAACTCCGTTTAGACATAAATCAGCTAAAATGAATTCAACCCGGCTAGTACCAGCTAATACACAGCGGTTGTCATTGCAGACACTTACCGTCGATCAGTTTTCCTCCCTTTTCGGTGACAAATTGCTTTGGGTCTGCCAAAGACGTTTCTGAGATTTCAACTCGTACCATTAAACA